TTTTTTTTTATGTCTGAATGCTGTCAACAGCACAGATGAAATCCTGTTCAGCTCTGTGGTGGAGAAATGAAACAAACCTGAGCAAACACTGAGTGTGGATCCACCACCACAGTTAATGGGGAACATGTTTTTTTGTTGTACTTCAGTTGCACTGAACCTTTAAGCGTTTCGACTTTGTTGTTAAATTTTCTCTTCATTTTGTACAAACCGCTCCTTCTTCCCGTCTCGGTCCAAACCTGAACCTCCGAGTGTCGTAACAACCGCAGACCAGAGTTCATGTTGTCACCAGACCGGCTCCGTGTGGGGGCTCCCGTGTGCCCGCTCCCCCGAGCTTAGCCTCACCTCTCGGGGTTGAAACCGCTCTCGTCACCCCCCAACCACCCACGCCCACCCACCGCCCCATGTGTTGAGTCGGGTGGCGCGGAGCAGTCCCCGTCCACACTAACACGTCTCTTGTTTCCTGTTTAACGTGCGTCGCAGCGCACAGCGCCGGTTTGTCAATTACAGTTGGTAATATATTCAACGAGCTCGAGGCCTCTTCTTCTCTCTCTCTCTCTCCTCTCTCTCTCTCTTCTCTCTCTCCTCTCTCTCTCTCTCTCTCTCTCTCTCTCCTCCGTCTCAAACACGCTCTTTTTCTTCTTCATTATCGCTCTGCTCAGGCCGGATCAGAGGGAGAGGATCGGCCGTGTGTGTGTTCTGGTCTCAGAACCAGTTCTGTTGGTGGAGTGTGTAGAATCAGGCGACTCGGTGCGTCTGTGGATGGGTGGTGGGTGGTCCTCGGGTCACCTTGGGCTCAGGTTCGTGAGTCGTTCTCACTCACAGTAAAGGTGAGAGGTGAGAGGTGAGAGGAGTTCTGTGTTGGGCGGTGTGCAGCGGGAGAAAAAGGAGGTTCTGTTGATCTTGTGCAGCCAACACGGTTTTTTTCATTCCTTCCTTTTTCTGCTTTTGTCTCTGAAGCTCGTGTTTCTGATCCCCGGCTTCAGTAAAAGCAGAAACACACACGTCTCGTCCTGAGGCTTCCTGTAAACCTGGACACACATCCACAGAGTCCACATCCAGATGTGGTGTGTTTCTACCATGAGCATTTTCTACAGCACAGACGCTTACACCTGAGATAACTTGGGGGCAGCAGAAACAAGTCGGGGAGTCCCGTGTTCCCGCTCTTTTAGCTCTGTGTTTGGTCTCCAGCAGCTGCAGAGGGAAACATCTGGCTCTGTAGCTGCTAGATGCTCCGCTGTGTTCACCAGCTGCTCCCTGACTGTGGCCGCGAAGGCCGAACCCAAATCAGACGATCACACGGAGATTTCCATTGTGTCGCAAAGCACGGCGCCCGTCTCCTAGCAACCTTGACAACAAGTCACTTTTTTCCAACAACACGGACGTTTAACAGTGTGATCCTCAGGCTCTCTGTCGGTGTTGTCTGCTTTCATTACCTGCGCCCAATGAATCTTGGGATATGTCGGACCACGAGGGATCCACCTGTTAGGTGACAGCTCTGACACGCTCTGTAGAGCTGAGAGCAACTCCACACTCAGGTGGTTTCCTCACTGTGAGTCACAGGTGATTCATGGTTGTAACTGTGCGATGACGCACGTCGTGTCATCGCTGCAGCTGGTTTTTACTTTGTTGGTTTGGAGGCTGATTCATTAACAACAAACTACAGTGAGTTCTCCTTCGCTCCTGTCACAGTTACTACGACCACTAGATGTCGCCTAGCAACAAAACCTAACTATGATGTCATGATAAGCTGCTGCACAGACGACCTGTGGGCTCGTTTCTTACAGGACAGTCTCAGCTAGGCTAGTTGTTTCCACCTGTTTCCAGTCTTTATGCTAAGCTAAGCTAACACGCTGCTGTGTAGACATGAGTGTGACATTTCCAAAAACGTCAAACTGTTCCTTGAAGACTGAAAACTGGAGCCTCCACCATCTCCGTCCTCTGTATCTCTGAAACTCAGTTTGCTCGCTCTTGAATGTCTCATGATGCAACATTCAAGTGAAGTCAGAATATTTGAGCTTCTCAAAGAAAAAGACCGGAGACCAACACGAGCCTCCACGTGGAAACACACACAGGTAGTCGAGTCTAGTATTTGATGTGGACCACTTCAGATGTGGGAGCTGCTGGGCCACTATTACACACACACACACACACACACACACACACACACACACACCTATTTACACACAGGTATAAAAGTCGCCCATGTGTTTCCAGTCTCGCTCCTTATGGGCCACATGATCCACTTCCCGTCTCAACAGGAAAACTCCTGTAAATCAGCCTCATTAGCCCACTGTCCTGCGTGTGTGTGTGTGTGTGTGTGTGTGTGTGTGTGTGTGTGTGTGTGTGTGTGTGTGTTGCACAGGAGCGACTCCCCTGCAGGATCCAGTAAGCAGCCGACCCCCCAGCGCCCTGCAGATGCTGCGGCAGCGCGTTCGGAGGCTGAGGACCTGTTTGAGGACTTCTGACCCTTCACAGACCCACAGGATCACAGGATCACATGATCACATGATCACAGGATCACATGATCACAGCTCTGATGTAGACTGGTAACGCTCTGATATTTTTACACTGAATGTTCGGATTAAAGGTCAGGGATTATAGGAAACTTGTTTTTAAGGAAACAGACGGTGACGAGTGAAAGTTCGTTTCCTCTGTGTTTTGATGGAGGGTGACGAGAGCAGAGGTCTGATTACAGCCCGTTTTTATTCATCAGGAAGTCTAGCTAAAGTAAAGAGAAGAAGAACGGCCCTGAATCCCCCCAAAACAACATCTGTTTACATTCAAGTGACCCGCTAATTAACGATGTCGGGAACAGAGAGAGGAGACGGGTTACAGTAGGACAGCCTGTGATCCGAGGAGGGAAATGCAGGAGGTCGGCGTCGATTGAATTTGTCGTTTCCAACCAGCTTCGACCACAATCATTTCACAACCGTAACCAAGTGTTTATTAACGGAACCACGGCCACAAATGTTGCATCATCTCGATGTAGGAGTCACTTTAACCCAAAACAATGAACCAAAGCTTTCTCTGTTGAAGTCGACCCAAACTTTAACCACCGGAGCTGCACCATCAAATCAACAGATTCAACTGAGTGTCGGAGGCAGAGACGAATGAGAGTGGAGTCCGATCAGGAAACACGTGGTCAGGGTCCTGCTGCAGACAGGTAGACCTACCTGTACGTCATGAGCTGCATGTGTGGATCCAGCTTCTTCCTCTGTTTGCTCACAAGCCCAAGTGAAAAGTTCAGAGCGAGTCTTCGTGGTTCTGCTTCTTCGTCCTGCAGCGTCACAGACGGAAAAGCGTCGACTACATTCATGCAACGTTTCAAACAAACAATATTTTTCCTACAACTCTTTAAATCTTGTTTTAAGATAAAGTTTAAGATAAAGACTCAGGCGCTCGTTAGCTATGACGATCCGACACGTTAAAACACTGACCACATCACGTGCATCAGACCTCTGCTCTCAGCTTCTCATCCTGCTGCTGCTGTAACTCGCCTCCTGTCTGTAGTTTTACATTCACAACGTCATGAACTGCTTTTCTACATATTTACACATCTGTCTTTTTAATATTTGTACCAAATAAACGATGTAAATGTTCACTGTTTAACTACGAAGTGGTCATTGATGTTTGTTTTATTTGATTGAAATGATCTTTAAAGGGGAACGTCATTAAAATAACCTTCACAGGTTTTCTTGATTCAGTCGAATCTGAATCAGAAAATATAAGAATTAAACCTTTTTGCTTCTGGTTTGTTCCAGCGTCCGACCTGCACTCTGGATTTTCTATCAGTGTTTTAATCTGTGTGGGAAAAGGGGGATTTTTGTGGGTGAGATGAAGTCATGTGAACACAGCAGCATCATCATCATCATCATCATCATCCTCCTGCAGCTGACTGTGTTAGCCAATCAGAAACAGGCTGGTCCACATTCTGGGTAAATTCCTTTTGTCTTGCTTTTCGCTGTTTCCCTAACAACTGTCGGGAAACGAATGATTGTAGCTGTGATAAGTTCCTTTGTAGCGTTGCTCATCTGATCAGACTTCAAACGCGTGACTCTGTTCCTCAGACTCCGGTCCGCCCTGGACCAGATCTCACTGTCTCTCCAGGACTTGAGGCACAGACTCTTGTTCTGTGTTTGATTTGACCAGCTGGTGAAAGGCGGGAAATAAATGATGATTTACTGCTCGTCTTTTCAGCCGTGACTCCTCGTTCACGCGGTCCGCAGCTGCTGCTGTTTGTGCAAGCTAAGCACATTGTGGTCTTGGTCCTTCAGACCAGGACCAAGACCTGTGTTTACCAGGGGGGGGAGGGGTATTAGAGTTGCAAAGTGGGAGGAACTATTCCCATTCATTTTTTTGTTTGGTGACAGTTGAAAATCTTCAATTAAAAACTTCATTGAAGAAGTTAACTACAGTTCCCATGGTGCATTTCAGCATCAACATCCAATTACAGAGTTTAAAATCCTGTTAGCTATGAGCAAAGCCAGCAGGGAGGAAAGCTGCAGGTTTCTACAGCTCTGATTGTGGCGTCTTCTCCAGAGCACATGCAGCTGAGGCTTATGGGTATCGTAGTCTTTAGAGCCGTCCATCAAACTGACAGATAAAACCTGATTTCTCAGAAACAAAGTTGAGATAATTCAGAACATAAACCTGTTTGATCTTTACATCACTCTTTACATTGAGTTGCATTGTGGGAAATGTAGTATCCAGTGTTTTTGGAGCTTTTTTTTTTTTTAAATGTGAAATCAGTAGTGACCCTTTAATGTCTGGTGTAGACTCTCTCTCCCTCTCTCTCCCCGACTCAGGCTTTCTCTAGTCTTACTTCCGCCCCTCCCTCCGCCCCCTCTCCAATGGGCGTTGTACGGACGTGCCCCTCCTCTCCCTTAATGTCTGGATAATAGCGAGAGTCAAGTGGATTTGAACTTGCAGGCGGTGCTGAGAGGTTGGAGGAGTCCGGACCGAGCGCAGAGTCAGTGAGAGAGCAGCCGCAGAAACACGCGCGTCCCGGGAGCTGCGGGACTTTAGTCTGGAGAAGTTCAAGAGACGAACTGGATTTTCTCACTTTACAAAGATTTAAAAGGTAAGATGGTGATTTTTGTTTTTTTCTCGCTGTAATTTCTGTAAAGATTTCAGTTTAAAAATCATTTTCATGAGATGTTCATCATGTTCATCATCCGCATCTGATGCTGTGACCTGAAGATTCTGATCCGGACCAGCACCGGAGGACAGATCCTCCGGGTGGGCGGGAATGTTCCCACACTGATAAAAAAGAGGTCATTGATTAAAGTGACACTTGGGACCAATTAGATCAGTTTAACCAGCTGATCAGTGGATAAGCGTTATCACCGCAGATGCTCTGTGATCTGGGTCTGAGACTGACACAGCTGTGGCCACATCTGGACTCGTTTTTCACTGTTTGCTTCGTTATCTCTGGTGTCAGATAAAAACAAAGAAGAGATAAGAACTAAATGTGAATGTAGAGACATTTCGCTGTTTGATCATCCCACGGCAAAATAATTATATTCATTCATTTCTACAATCAGCAGGTTCACACATTCCAGTTCGTCAGTGGTGGAGGAAACTCACTGATTCTTCTCTCAAGTTAAAGCAGAAATGTTCCTAAAGTGTCAAAAGTAAAAGTGTAAATTCTGATGAATGGTTCCTTTCAGAGTGTGACATCATTATTTATATTATTGGGTCATTATTACTGATGTATTTACATATAATCAGGGTTTCCTGTTGTGGCTGCTGCAGACCGGAACTCATTTAACTGCTTTTTATGATTTGATTTGATTTATAATCAGTGAAACATGTTTTGTTTCTAAAAGCTGAAACTGCAAAGTAACAAGTAACTAAAGCTGTTAAACATCTGTAGTGGAGTCAAGAATAAAGTAAAGTAGCATAAATGAAAATACCCAAAGTACAAGTACCTCCAGACTGTAAAAGTACTTCCCTTTGTTAGTAGGTGAAACACATTCAGTCTGATACAACAGTCCTGTGATCAATCCGGTATTTTCAGTTATTTAGTTTCAGTCTCATTGAAATAAATGGGACAAAATGATGGAAACACAAACTGCAGCCTCCAACATGATCACTCAGGTGAAGCTACACCTGTGTGACCATTAGAACAGGAGGACTGTTGAATTAGAGTCAGACTGCATCATTGAGCTGGGAGAGTAAACTGGTAACTGAGTGGATGAATATACCTGCATTCGATAGTAGAAGAAGTCCTCGGATCCAGAGCCAATCGGTTCAATGGGAAATTAATCAGAAGCTAAAGTAAAAATGCTCAAACATTGTTTTCCTGTTTCTTCAGTGTGAGAATTTGCATTTCTTTTTCTGTCTCATTTAATAATTTATCAAATATTTCTGTGTTTTTTTTTAAGTTGGTTGGACAAAATAAGACGTTTATAGATTCTCTGAAGGTCACGTCTTTCTATCCATCCACTGTTCTGTCTGTAAAATGTCAGAAAATACAGAAAGTTCCTGTTAAAACTTTCCACAGGAAATGGAAATGAATTCAAATCACTAGTTTAATTCAGCCAGCGGTCCAAAGATATTCAGGTAATTATCATATGTGGCATCAGATCCTCACGTCTGAGAATCTGGAACAGAATATTTCCAAAACTAAAATAATTTATTGATTCCCAAAATAGTTGCCAATCACTGCAGCAATAGAAATCCTATAAGACCATGTGATCCAGCGTCTCTGACTCTGTCTCTGTCCACAGATCGTGTTGAGATGTTTCCTCACGTCCTCACACACCTGCTCTGTCTGGTGTGTCTGTGCGCCGCTCGTCCTCAACCAGGTGAGTCACGTGATGTGAGGCCTGACGCCAAACTCTGTCCCCGCCCACCTGCTTCTATTTATTTATAACAACTCGTGTTGCAAGGTCCAAGACTGACAAAGTGGAAAATGACAGAGCACACGTCCACTCTGCTCTGAGCATCACTGTGAACACGTTTTCCAGTGATCACACTCAGACACGTGTGGAGTCTGACCTCTGCTGCCAGTGTTCACACGTCTCCACCAACCTCCCATCAGTTCATCTTTCTTTATTAAAGCTGCTTCACACACACAATTTTACACTTTACTTCAGCCAACAGGTTCATCTGCGACTGCATCTTAATTTCTTTCCATGCAGGTGATATTTATATTTCAAATACACTGGTGTAAGATGTTTTCTCTACGCCGCAGTGTCGATGCTTGCGCCACCAGGTGGAGCCCTTGAGTGTCGAGCTGGTTTTGAAGCAGAATTATTATTAGAAGAAGAAGATTTCTTTTGGTTGTGGGCTGCAGTTGTGAATGAAGAGCTTGTAGTTTTCAGCAGCAGAGAGGACGAGCTGACGGAGCGTTTGAAACATCCACCTACAGCAGAGAGGACGAGCTGATTTAAATTATTATTAATTTTCTTTCTTTAAGATTCCTTTATTTCTCCATTTTTCTTCTGAGTTTTTCTCTTAATTTGACAGTCGACTTTGCAGCGACACAGGAAATATTCTCCTGAACCATCAGGCGACTGTGGCGCCTCCTACTGGATCTGTTGTGCGGCGCAGGATAGAGTCTGATGTTGCTCAGGTTTTATTTTTACTCTATGATCCTGTATTGAAACCTGACACCTTGTATGATAGTGGACAGGAAACTCAGGAGCTAAACTTAGGGGCCGTCTACAAAGTGTGTGCAAAATAACAAAGGGAACTTTTCCACTTTTTATCTTGTAGAATAGTTATGACAGACACAAATTTCAACTTCATTTTCCTCTTGGTTTCCTCCGTTTGTACACACGACCTTTTAAAAGAGAAATGTAATATGACAGAATTAGCCTGTGGCCTGTTTTTAGCCGAGCTAGCAGCTGGCTCCACTGTGGACCGGCTCGTTCAGCACTTCACTTCATGATGTCTACAGCTGTGGATGAATTGTGATGAACTCCGGTTCACAGATTCATGTTCTCCTCAGGACGGGTCGTAATAACGTTGGTCATCCTCTGACTTACAGTTTTGTTTTATCAGTCATCTTCCTCATTCCTCGTGTGGGCCTCGCTCCGGTCACAGACACGTCCTCAGTTTTCACAGTTCATTTCCTCTCGGTCCTTTAACAGCTAAACAGCTTTTATGAGTCTGTTTGATTCACTCAGATAGATGGATAAAATGTAGAGAAGTAGAAAACCCCCGGACATGAAGCGGTCTAGACGTTTAACAGCCTCTGATCCAGATGTTGTAGTGACACAAACAGAGTCAGAGTCTGAGTCTCACTCACTCCTGCTCCTGTTTTCCAGCTCCACCAAACTCCATGAGGATGGAGAAGAGCTCGCCGGCAGCGGGCTCTCTGTCGGGCCGGGTGGTGCTGCCGTGTCACTTCTCCATCATGGCGGTTTCTCCCGGCACCTTGACACACACTCCCTCAGACACCACCGCCACTCCCGCACCCGGACCCCTCCTCCCCGCCGACGACCTTCACACCCCGGGTCCCGACGAGCAGCTGAGGATCAAGTGGACGAAGCTGGAGGGAGAGGAGGAGAAGGTGGTGCTGGTGGCCCAGGGAGGGGTGGTGAAGGTGGGGCAGGAGTTCAGGGGCAGGGTGTCGGTGGCGAGCTACCCGCTGTCGGTGGGAGACGCCTCTCTGATGATGGTGAGGCTCCGGGCCAGCGACGCAGGGCTGTACCGCTGCGAGGTGATGCACGGGATGGAGGACACGCAGGACACCGTCAATCTCAGCGTCACCGGTGAGTACACACACACACACACACACACACACACACACACACACACACACAATCCCTCAGTTTTACAGCTCAAATTAAGCGTCAGTATGAGGAGTCTACAAACTTGTTCAGTGAATCCAGATGTGACGTTGGCAAGACTTTACAGATGTTTCAGAGGAGAGGGAGCTGTCCAGGATCTTAGCTCAAGCTTGTGCACAAACTCTTTCTGTGAAGCTGCAACAATCAATATTTTTATTGATTGTAAATATACAATAAAAAACAATTCATGAACACAGTCCAAAACAAAGTTTACAATTTAAATGACAAACAATGAAATTACAAAATTGTAATAAAAATAACACACAAGGAAAATGTAAAACATATAAGATTATAAACACAGTCTCATCAGTTAAAACAATTTGAATAACTTATAAAACTATGATTTTTAAAGTGCTCAGTAGCTTCTTCCATGTGTCCGGAGCATTAAATCCAAATGTACATGGAGAGTTCGCCGATGATCAAGAGACGAAGACTGAGCTTCATTCAGATTCCTCCTGTTTGTGAGTTTCCCTCAGCGTCACAGTGAGACGGTGACAGTCGTCTGAACGTGCATGTGTTCACCTCAAACAGGAGCTGATCACAGCTGATTCAGCTGCTGTTAAAGTTTGTCAGATTATAAAGAGCTCATGTTGTACCTGACAGCCTCCGTGGTCACACCATCATACTTCCTGTTTGCACCGGAGACTGGTCCCCGACAGAAACCGGATAGCTCCAGATCCTCATCGTTACACGTCGGGACAGAGAAAGACAAACCCGTCGGTTATTTCAGCTGTCATCCTCAGAATATATGTGACTGTTGTGTTGTGTCATTAGCTCCTTTATTTCCAGCTGGATGGGGCGATTATTTCTCCTCTGCGAGGAAATCCTGGCAGAGCCGCCGGAGGACGTGAATAGAAGAGCGAGCGGTTAAATGGAGAGTTGTGTGTCTCTCATAGGGAGCGTCTTTGTCAGGAGCTGCTGGACAGAGCTCCCCGTTCAGTATTAATGTGGAATCTGTGTAAATGTCTCTGGCTCCGCTGACGGATAATGTTCCTCTGAACACTGTGGGGTTTCCACTGGGTGAACTCTTGATGGCAGGAGCCCAGAAACCTCCGATAGTCACTGCAGAGCGACGTGTGAAGAGACAGTGACCCCGACACACAGAACACTGTTTATACTGGAGGCCTCATCACGGCTGCACCTCAGGGATTCCCTCCTGTAACAAGGTGCTGGCTGTGCACCTGTTCTTACCCAGGAGGGAGAATTAGTCCATCAGTTATTGACCTGCTGATTGACTGATCAGGAATCTTTGTTGTTTTTTTTCTCTCCTTTTCTTCATTTCTAACTTTCATTAGAAAGTTAAATCAACATTTCTTCTTGCAAAAAAGAAAAAAGCAAAAGAAGGAAGAAAAACAAATGCAGAATCACAATGAAAAAAATGAATGAATGAAAAACCTAGAAAGGAAAATAAATAAGTAATTACAATCATAAAAGGAAACTAGAGCTATAGGGAGCAACAAACCCAGCACCAATGAAACTGTTTCAGCTCCGCTCCACAAGAAAGTAAATGTATAAATGTATATTATTCATATTATTTAGTAACAGGAGCATCAACCATCAGGATACATTACATTATATTCTTCTATCGCACCATTTAACAGTGTTTTATAAGTTTTGTAAACTTTTACTCTGTAGTTAAGATCCAGATGTTTCCCTCAGCAGCTGGTGGAGACCAAACACTGAGCTAAAAGAGCGGGAACACTGGACTGAGATTCATCAGGTGGGTCATGTTCTCTCTCTATAATCTCCTTTTCTGATTGTCAATCCTTTTTTCTGCAGGTGTTGTGTTCCACTACCGGGCGAACACCAGCCGCTACACTCTGGATTTCCCCGCAGCTGTGGAGGCGTGTCACGGTGCGGGCGCCTCCATCGCTTCACCTGAACAGCTGGCGGCGGCTTTTGAGGACGGCCTGGACCAGTGTGACGCAGGCTGGCTCGCCGACCAGTCAGTCAGGTGTGTGTGTGTGTGTGTGTGCATGTTTGATTTTAAAATAAGAACTGGAACACAAACAGGAAGTTGACGTCTGTTGGAAGCAGGTTGACGTCTCTCTCATTGCACTGGCAGATTTAGTCTCTTGTTTTAAAGAGAAGAAGGTTTTTAGGAAACACATGTTGACATAAATCACTGTTTCCTCAGGTATCCCATCACCTTCCCTCGTCCCGGCTGTGCAGGTGATCTGATGAGCCGACCAGGAGTGAGAACATACGGCGTCCGCGACGCCACAGAGAAATACGACGTGTACTGCTTCGTAGACGAACTACACGGTAACTTCACGACGACAAGCTGAAAGTTTAAAATAAGAGAACGAGCAAACGGCTACTGTCAATGTCTTGATGAGCATCGGTTTGTTCCTCGCAACACAAAAGCTTGGAAATCAATCAATGCGATCAATATTTAAAAAGTGCTCTCAGCTGCATTTCTTCTTCTTCTCTTCATTTGTTGCAGCTCTTGATTCCAACGTTTGTTCGCTGATTGTGACTTTTTAAAAACTTACTTTTGTACCTCGTTTTTTTCTTTTTTGAGGCAAAACAATCTCCACTCAAGGGCCACTGAGTTCATTGTTACCGTGGAGCTTTCGATCATTTTGCATGACCCTCAGCAGCAGCAGAATCTGTCGCTTTTAAGCCAACATGCACTTTTGAAAATGTGCAACTGAACAAACTCCATGCGCTGATGAAGATCGTGTCGTACAGTCAAAAGCTCCAGAACAAATGAGTAAGGGGACCATGAGTGGAGATTGCTTTGTGACCTGCTCCACAAATATTTGAAGGCACTTTGGTGTAAATGTGCGACGGAGCCACATGAGGGGAATAAAGTGTTAATTTTAGGTCACGTGTGTAAACCCACCGAGCACAGACTCATCTTGAACTAAACCTTCGACTCACCTTCTGCAGGTGAGGTCTTCTACCCTCCGTCCATCAGCGACAAGCTCACCTTGCAGCAGGCGTGGGAGGAGTGCGAGAAGCAGGAGGCCGTGCTGGCGTCGCCCGGTCAGCTGTTCGCAGCCTGGAGGGCGGGGCTGAACCGGTGCGACTACGGCTGGCTGTCCGACGGCAGCGCCCGCTACCCCGTCACCGTCCCCAAGCCTCAGTGCGGGGGAGGCCTGCTGGGCGTCCGCACGCTTTACAAGTACGAAAACCAAACTGGCTTCCCGGACCCCACCGACAGGCACGGAGCTTTCTGCTTCAAAGGTGAGACTGAAACACACTTCTTCTTAATCAAATGTGAACAAGTGAGTTATATAAACAGGTAATTAGCTGTTTTAGCTGTTTATTTCTGCTGTAAAGTTGGACATTTTAACATGGGAGTCTACGGGGACTGACTCGCTGTTGGAGCCAGACTCTAGTGGTCGTTAGAGGAACTGCAGCTTCTGGTTCTTCACTGTTGGCTTCGTACAAATGGAGACAGTGACCACGAGTCTCCTTGATGACTTTCATACTTTTGCACTCTCATGTTCGCTCTCTCATAAACCCGACCAATCACTGCGGGACACGTGTGTGATTGTTGGATTGTCGTGTTCCAGAGTTACACATCCAGAGAGTCGTGGGAAAGCAGCTTTCAGACGATGTTAGATAATCAAACAAGATCTTAAAATATGATCCAACAACATCTGAGGAAATATCTGGCAAACAATACCTAACTAATGACTCTCTTTGGCATATTTTGATTGTGTTTAATGAAAAAAAACAATGAGAAAATGGAAAATTTTAAGAGCTTTATCTCCTGAAAAACTTGCAACAGAAATGAAACTTTGGGAAATCCCCGATACTCACTTAATAAAACCATATTTATCTAAGGATCTGTCCTACGGAGATGAAGAGATGACTTATGGCCGTGGTCTTCAGTGATTGCCCTCCTCATTGGTTATTACATAGATCATGTATTAAGCAGTGGGACTTTCCTTGGCCTTCAGATTGAATCTGAATAGTTTGACGAGGCCTGAGGGAGAAAACTATCCAGTATGTTCCGTCCTTTCCTGTTCTGTTCATCATCTGCAGACCCTTCAGATTTATGTGCAGCCACTGCAGAGAGTCTCTCACAAGGAAATCTGTCACGGACAAGTCGTTTCTTAAGATGCTTTATGCAGTTGGGTATTTAAAGTCAAGTCATTTTATTTAAGGAGCTCATTTAAAAACAACAAATTACCATCAAATAAAACCATAAAGACATAAAGGAGAGGAAGTAAATGAATGAAAACAAAAACTATCTGAAGTGATAAATAAAAATCAGAATATGATCAGTTAAGGCTGTTGAAGCAGCAGTTAACTGCATATTTCAGGGGAATCTTTTAAATATGGCACAAATCCTCCTTTTGATAAAACACGTTAGCCACTTAAAAAATTCAAGATGGCCGCCAATTTTGGCAAGGAAATGTTATTTTTCTCATATGAATAATCCAGGTGTCCAATCAAATATTTTTACAATGTAGCAGGTGAAATTTAGCACACTGTAAAAAAAAAAAAAAAAAAATGAAAGTATATTTCAGCAAAAATATTACTCACAAAAAAGCTTGCTAGCTAGCCTAGCGCTAGCAAGTTAGCCTTGAGAGCTAATGTTAAAACAAGTAGATTGTAGACTCAACAACTAACAAACTCTTTTGGTTCATCATTCATAATAAATGCTTTGCAATTACGTTATTTTATGCAAATGATTTTATGTTGATTTGATGAAATTTCACAAATAAAACTGAGGAAATTGAAGAGTTGTGAATTTTACATCCTCATGGTTTAAAACATATGACTAAAGTGCAAACTCTATTAATTCTGTGGTAAAATATGTGTTTCCTGCGCCAGAAACGGCGGCCATCTTTAAATTTCAAGTGGCTGATTTTGGATTTTTCAGACTAATGGTCCCAGAGGGATAAACAAGCTGCTCTGGGTTCTCGTATCCGCATTTTGAATATTATTACAGTTATCTGCTCCAGTATCAAGAAGGAAATAAATTGAGGTCGTGGAAGCTCCAGGCTCATCCTGCTGCTCCAAAAGTCCAAGTCACTGACGCATGAATCATGAAGTCACAAGGAAAACACAAACGCTGAGGTGTGTCGCAGCACAAATACAATCCACAATCTACAGCCGTTTAGAAGCAGCCGAGCGTGAAGACGTGGAAACAGAGAACAAACCCAAACAAGAGAAGAATAAACTCCCACTGCACTGTTTATGGTGGGGCACGTTTTTTTTTTTTTTTTTATGAGGGGAAAACCCAACTCACTGCACTCTAACACAGATACTGAAGAAACGGGACAGGTCCCTAATGCTTCACAGCTGGACCCAGCCCAAACACAGACAGACGGACAGAGGGAGGGAGGAGGAGGTGGAGGAGAGGGGGATTACAGAGCGTTTTCTCCCATAAGTAACATCACCATCATTAAAAGATACTCAGAAACACAAAGCTTCAGGAGCGAGGTCAGCTCCGTCTGCAGTGTGAAGTAGGTTCTGTGATCATACACTTTGAGTCTGATGCTTTACAGATGAGATAATTGCAAACAGCGTCTGGCAGCATGGAGGTACTTTCTGGACCTGAGGCCCGTGCATGTGTCCTGCCAAGCTCTGAGCGAGGTGGCAGAGCTGCAGGAGAGAGAGAGAGAGAGAGAGAGAGAGAGAGAGAGTTAATGTACAGGGAAGTGACAGCATGAGGACAGACCCCGGCCCGGCCAGATGAACGCTGCTCGCCAAACAGCATGACATCATCTCTGGGCGGGGTCAAACACGCAGCCAGGGTCTCCTCAGTGCTGCGAGAGACCAGACCAGACAAGAACTCAGAGTCTGCAGGTCTGTCAGCAGCCAACACTGCGATGGAGATGTAGAAGTGAACAAGTAAAAGTCCGACATTCAAAGTCTGATCAGATAAAAAATATCAACTTAACTTTAAGTTTATAGACAAAGTTAATAAAGAAAATAATCAGATAAGTAAAGCTCCATATTTTCTTCTTCTTCTGTGTTTTATTTGAAGTGTTGATCCATCAGAAGATATAAAAACCATCTCAGTGTAGTTTTACATCTCCTCTCTCAGGCTTCTCTCTGGAGCTNATTATGTCAGTGACGTTCAAAGCCTCATACTCCCAGGACATTAACTACATGAACTCAGCACTTAGACCTACACAAAGGAGGGCATTGTGTGTGTGTGTGTGTGTGTGTGTGTGTGTGTGTGTGTG